CTTAGGCATTCCACACTTCCATATGAGGGAATGCCTAATCTCCCATAAATTAGCATGGACGGTTTATTCTTTGCCCATGGGCATGAATTCCCTTGATATCACTGGAGCTAAAAGATTGAAGTTACCTGTTGAGATTGGGCAGAAAGGTAAAATTTATTATGCCATGAATCCATGATTTTCTTTTTAGTGGCTTGATTAAATGTTAACAAGGGCCATTTCTCAGAAGCTGTCTGGGTAAACATCCTAGGTTCTAGATTTAGGAAGCTTTCATCCTTGCATCTTGAAAAAATGGACAGCAGGGAGGCTATTGAAGAAAACTCAAAGGACTCGCATCTTTCATCTGCATATGACAATGCCATGGAAGCACTTTCCTCCCTGATTACTTGCCAAAAGCGTGGAGATAGATCACCAGTTGGTGGTAAATATGAAAAATTAGACAGGATGTTGATGTATGTTAAGGTAACCATGCTGGACAAATCATTTGATAACTTCTTTATTAGGATATTTAAGGGTAATATTTATGGGTTATGGATTGAAATGTAATGTTTTTGTTAAAATGTAGTATGTATTGTTTTTCCACGCCTATGTTTTCATATGCAGTTTGATGTAGTCTGATTTAGTTGTGTCCTTCATCGAAATAGCATATATCAATTATGGTAAGTAAACTCGAGGGCCTAATTACTTCTGTTTCCTTGGGTAAAAGTAAACTTTTGTTTCCTGAGACTCAATGTTGACAACCTAATATCTTGAACTTCTCTTCCATTGAATGATTTTGTTTATGCATTTATTCTAGTAAAACTGACAATCGATTCATTTCAAAGATGAATGAATTTAATCTGTGATAGACAAAGAACCTTCATTAATTCTTCTAAATTCTAGGTTCCTTATTAAGTAGGGGAAGGGGGTAGGTCACTCTGATCAACCACAACAATGTCCTGATATGAGCAAGTCCTGTACAGCTTACAGAATGACGCTATTCATTTTATTTTGTAATTGAACATCTTTTTTGTTTACATTTATTTTCCAGGCATTAAGCCGGCAATAGGACCTATCATTTAGTATTTATAACTTAGATGCGTAAATTTTAGTTTCTTCTTCGGACTCCACTTGGAAAATATGAGATCTGGTTGCATTCATAATTCCTGTCTACAAAACTTGATTTTAACGCAAGTGGACAATTGAGAACCTCTCGCTGGTGTTGTCTCTGAAGACTTCTTTTGACATCTTTTGATGAGAGCTTTTTTTAAGCTCTGAAACGTTATAGTCGACAATAACTAAAAAGATAGGCTACTGATTTTCTCAAATCTACTTAGCATTTCTTAGAAGTAACAAAGAAGTGCTTCTTCAATTTTTCCATTTTTTTTTTTTTTTTTTTTTTTTTTTTTTTTA